GCTTGTCTCAGGTGAAGTCTGATCAGGTTGGAGACACGTCAAAGATGATTAAAGTAAACAGGAAGCAGCTGGACACAGTTTGGAGCCACAGCAAAGTCTGAACAGGTTCATAAATGAGAGATTTCCCTTTTCTGATTTTAAAACATTTACAACTCCTCTTCCTCGGTCTGACACCATCCCTCTGTAGCTGGGTGCTGAACTTCCTCTCTGACAGACCTCAGTCAGTCAGAGTTGGGGGCCGGTCATCTGGCATCAGAAAGTTAAGCACAGGCTGCCCCCAAGGCTGTGTGCTGAGTCCAATGCTCTACTCCCTCTTCACCTATGACTGTGTGGTCACTCAGAAGAACACCAGCATTGTTAAGTTTGCTGATGACACCACAGTCATAGGAATGATCACCGGGGGGATGGAGACAGACTACAGGGCTGAGGTGGCCAGGCTTTTTGACATGGTGTCAGGAAAACCATCTCTCCTTGAACACGAACAAAGCCAAGGAGATGATTGTTGACCTGAGGAGGAGGAAGGTGCTGCATTCCCCCATTTTCATCGGCGACACTGAAGTGGAGAGGGTGGAAACATTAAAACTCCTCGGTACACATATCGGCAGTGATCTCACCTGGACCCATAACATTAAAGAACTCACAAAGTGAGCGCACAAACGGCTGTACTTCCTCAGGAGGCTGAGGACATTTGGGATGCCTCCTGAAATCCTCAGCAACGTCTACAGAGGTGCAGTCAAGGGTGTGCTCATCAGCGCCATCACTGTGTGGCATGGGAACTGCTCCCTGCAAGACAGGAAGGCCCTCCAAGGTGTAATAAAAACTGCACAAAACATCTCTGGAGTAGCCTTCCCATTGCTGCAGGACATCTACACCAGTAGGGTCATCAGGAGAGCCCACAGCATCATTAAAGACCACACATACCCACAGCACACACTCTTCACACCACTGCCGTCAGGGAGGCGGTACAGAAGTGTGAAGTCAAGGACCACAAGACTTTCAAACAGTTTCTTTCCTCAGGCCATCAGACTCCTGAACAACCACAAACAATGACTGATCACTGCTGTTCAATGTACAAACAATTCCGTTAACATGTCACCAGGCACCGTGCACTTTAAATGTTTATCTGCTGCTACATCACCTCATTGATGCTGCTACTTGTAAATAGTCCATATGCACCTTAGTTTCTGTCTCTTTTTTATTCCCTTGTATCTATTTATATTACTGTTTTATTTTTTATTTGTTTGTTTGTCTGTTTCTATACATATATTTATTGTTGTTATTATTATTATTATCATTATTATTATTATTTATTATTTATTATTATTATTGTTATGTATATGGTAGTGTGCAAATGAGACAATTTCATTGCCCAGTGTTAAACTGCTGTTTTTCATGCTGCGCATATGACAATAAATGTCTATCTATCTTAGTCTCCATAAAGTAAAGGGTCTGAAAACTTCCTGAAGCAACTATGGATTTACTATCATTAAATTCGTGCTTTGGTTCCTCCTGGAGCAGCTTGGAGGAACCAGGAGGAACCAGGAGGAACCAGGAGGAACCAGGAGGAACCAGGAGGAACCAGGAGGAAGCACACACCACCAAAACCATGTTTGTAATGAGTNCCTGCTGTGAAGAAGTAAGTCATAAAACATTAGAACTGACTGTCGTATCAACTCTATTGTTTGTTGTTTCAACTGTATTCCAACAATAAATTCCTCTGAAACGCTGTTAAAAGGTTCATTTTGCCTGAAAGAATTTTAAATGATTTTTCCTTCTTGGTGGTTTTCTTCTATTTACCAGAATCCATCAGAGACCAGACTCCTCTGGACCTGGACCTGGATCTGAACCCAGCTGTGTGTCCTTGAAGAGTGACCGGTCAAATCCTCGATTCATTAATTTCAAAGGACATCAACGTCCTGCTGTGAAGCAGTAAGTCATAAAACATTAGAACTGACTGTCGTATCTGTTGTGGGATGTTTTAGAAGTAAATACGGTGACCATAGTTTGATTACCGGAAACCAGGACACTCGGCCCGACAATGAGATCCTCAAATGATACTTTTACTCAGAGATGTCTTATAATTCCAATACATTTAAAGTAGGACCCATCGATATGGATTTTTTGAGGCTGATGCCGATTCCGATGTTTGGCACGAAAAAAAATTCCGATAACTGATTTATCGGCCGATTAATTTTTAAAATACCTTAAAAAGCTTCTTTTTTGCTCCCTTAATGCCTACAACAGCAAAGATATGACTCACAGGCAGAACATTTTGCTGGTTTACACTTTGTCCTTTAATGTTTGTTGAACTTTACAACAGAGATGGATTTTCAAAAACATGCGACAAAGCATTAAACATAATATGCATCAGTAAAAAAATAAAAAGTTTTCCAAACAAATATGTCTGTAATGTGAGGTATTTCATTTTAAATGTGCATTGTGCATTTTTCTTTCCATGGAGCATGAATATAGCTACCAGCTCTCCCGATGAATTAATCTTTAGGTTTAGGCCATAGCTGTCTGCTGTATATAAGCAACATAATGAGTGTGGTTACTGGCAAAACATTATTTATGTTACTCCATAACAACACACAGTGAACCTGAACCCAGCTGTGTGTCCTTGAAGAGCGACTGGTCAAAAGATCACCCCATTAACTTCAAAGAACATCAACCTCCTGCTGTGAAGAAGTAAGTCATAAAACATT